GGGGATGGGGAAAAATGACTAAACCCAGCAGGGAGGGGCAGGGGGCCAGCCATTATGATAATCTCTTTCCCATCATATACACTTTTGAGTATATCCCTCAAATTCCTGTTTCAATTTCCTAAACACTTGGAGTCGTACCCAAACCCACTGGCTTGCTTTCCCCAGCAGTCACAGTGGTGCTGCTTCGCTAGAAGGAAGGATTAATGGAAGGAGCAAATGCAATGCCAAGTCGGAGAGCTGTTTTGTACTGTGCTCGGGGAAGGTGATGGCATCAGGAAAGGAAGTATCCAGCATTTCTGGAAAAACTGGGTCCCCAGTGTGAATGATCTCAATAATTTCAGTTCCACACAAACTCTCCCCAAATGGGAAATGCGAAGAGAGGGCTGAAGACACACAGGAGAAGCTCAGGCAGCAGCTAGCAGAGTGGGGTCCCACTTACTGGGGTCCTGGAGGAGCTGGGCTGCGATGGAGACCCGGCGCCGCTCGCCACTGGAAATGCCCCCCTGATTGTAGTTGCCAATCAGTCGTTCGGCCACGTGGCTCAGACTCAGCTCTGCCATGACCGCCTCCACCTATAGAGACACAAACTCCAGGAAGGCTGGACCTGCTGTTGCTGCTATTTTAAAGCAGGGGCTGGGGATGGCTGGAGAGAGGGTAACACACCTCCCAAGACCGCATGGGCCACTTCCAGATTCACTATATCCCGGGGGAAGCAAGCCTTTAATAAGAATATAATCCAATTTGGTTTAAATCATAATACAATACATGTGCCAGATTTAAATAAATAATGTGAATTTTTTTAACTCTCTAAAACAACTATTATACTTGTTTCAAAGAAATTCACCAGGAAACAATGGATTCTTCAGTGAACTCCTATTTTCAGATGCCACAGTCCAGTGCAGCCCACACAGAAAAATCCCCCAAAGCAATAGTTAAATATGCCTTATTTTTATAAGTGTTTGAAACTTTACTACAATAAATGGTCTGTATGTTTAAGAAATCCAGTGTGATTTGAACTAAACCATATTTCCCCTGTGTAACCCAAATAAGTCCTACAGTCCCAGGTGGCCCAATCTC